GTCCTGGTGCCAGCTATAAGGGTTCCCAGAATTTTATAAAAGCACATCTTAGTTTAATCTTGGTCAAACAAACCAACTTTGTACTCCTTCCTTTTGCTTCTAGTAATCTTGGTCTTTAATTCATTCAGATGTTGTCATAGAAATTGATCTCTCTTCAAATTTTCTCTTTCCCATCTCAAAGGCTTCTTTGAGGCTTTAGCAAACCTCTTTTGTAGATTCAGTAGAGAGTCATTATCCAGGTCATTCTCTTGGCTTGTCATTTGTTTTTCCATTTTAACTGTCATCTCTGTCTTATAATTTACTTTTTTTTTTATTTTCCAGTATTCCGACAATGTATTTATATTCTAATATTTCTGCATCAGATGAAGTTTGTTTCAGCTCTTTATCCTGTAGATCTTCCAAGGTATCCTCTTGCACATCTGTCATTTCGTTTTTAACATCTTTTGGATATAGTCTATCCATAAAAGTCGACATCACTGCTGGCATTGTAGCTGCTAGTTTTTGTCCCCATTCTTCAAATATTCCCTGGAGTACTTTAAATGTCATACCATTTTATGTCATTTTGTCTCAATGCTGACCAAAGACAAAAGGCAAGCCTGCCTCCCTCCCTCCCTCCGTCTTATGTCTGGAATCTTTAGTCCCTTCTACTGTCCAATTTCTGAAATCATAAAGTCCCAAATTTCTATTATGACTTAAGGTAGACTAAACAATTTAGTTCCCAATAAGCTGCTATTTATATAAATATTTCCAAAATCTTATAGCAAAAGTCCTAATACTCCAAATTCGTCTGGTTCCTTAATTTGTTTATAACTTTCTTGAATTAAAGTCTTATTTAGTTTTTTGCCATTTATTTCAAATTACTTAAATTCTTAAGCTTATAGTTAATTTTTCTTTTATTCTGGAATGAAGATAAACTCACCACGTAGCTTTGCAAACTTGTTGTTTGAAGATCTCTAATAGCCTTTAGATAGTTAAACAGGTAATTTCTGAAAGTGATTAGAAAGTGAGATTAGCAAACCCAGTGTCCTTTAAAAGACTCCACCACAATTGACAGCGTGATGGCTTCCCTTTGTCTCCTGGCACTCAGACCCACAAGAAACCACTATCCTGTGGTCTCCTTGCAAAGAGCAGCCTTCCAGAGCACAACTGGGCAATCTTCTGTCCTCTCCTTATTCAGGGAGGTTCCAAGGGACCGGTCTACTCGCTGGTCCTTCGGTCACAACCACAATGTTGTCTCTGCTCATTTGGAGACATGCTAACTCACCATTCCTCACCCGGAAGTCTATCCCATCTTGTCATTTGTGAAAGGATGTCCTTGTGCAATGACAGATATGATGTAAAATGTATTATGTATTTAACCTTTTATCAGCAGGAATAGAACAGTTAAAGGATGTGGAAGAAAAACTTTCTATTATTAATAAATCTGACAGCATCATTTATCTTTTAAATTAGAAGAGTATAAATATATTCTAATAACTTACTAGTTTAAAAGATAAATAAGACTCTTAAATTTCATTAATGGCACATTTCAAATAAGTAAATAGAAAGAAATCAAGCCATCTAAAGATCTAAGCATTAAAACCTCAAAATACAGAATAGTGCTTTTAGTGCAGCACATCCATTAAATCAGATAAAAAAAAAAAAAAGGCAAACCTCTCACTCCTACAAGAACCCTTCCACATCGGACTTGGCACCACTCCCAGACTGCTGCCAGCACCAGCTTTCATTGTGGTTCTTGGTCAGCCAACAATTTTCTTCTGGCTTGATTTCTATTTGAAATGCTGCAACTTGGGCTCCATTGATGGGTACTCTTGCAGACTCACTTCCCAGTTTTGTAGCTGTCATCCCTCCCTTCAGCTCTGAATCGTCTACCTCAGGGTTCCTCATCCTTGGCAACTTTAAGACGGGTGGACTTCAACTCCCAGCCTTGCTGGCTGGGGGATCTGGAAGTTGAAGTCCACCCGTCTTAAAGATGCCAAGGTTGAGGAACCCCGGTCTAGCTGACACTTTTCCAGAGGACTGGAGTGTCTTTGAAGTGAGATTCAGGCCTTTTGTAGCCAGAATAGACTTTCTAGGAAAGCAAATGCAGGGTGGGAGTGGACTCCTGGGAGGCTGTCAATTTCAACATTCCCCA